AATAATTAAAAACCTAAATTTAAAATAATATGTGAAATTGTACGTCGAACAAATTCTCTATATAATTAATGATTCATGATGAAATTTGGTAACATTTGGTTGATTTAGATAAATGAAATTTTTTTAGTTTATACTGGTCATGTATATATATAGGTATGTATATTGGTTGTTGTTTTATAAAAGTATATAATTAGCTTGTTTTTCCTTTATAAGCAAATTGAATTGATAATGAGTATACGGGATATTCAAATCCTTTACAACACCAACAAACGAGAACCAGAATAACCAGAACAAAATAGAAAAAAATTCATAAAAACTACATCAATATCTCAATAGGCAATCTAAAGGTGCCACATACATATCATAGAAATTAATACTACAAGCTGATTTTCTACCTATGATACTCTACAACCAAACTTTAACTTTAATAGATAGAATAATATCATCCAGATTTGCAGCTTCTCCTTTGAAAATTAAATTGTTTCTAGCTAGCCATAAGCTCCTACAGGTTGCCAACCACACCATGTCTTCCTTATTGATACTGACTTTCCCGTTCAACTTCTTACAATGAGCTATACTGCCATATCCAGAACTCACTTGCATTCCTATGTTGCCATATCTATGATTCAACAAACCTGTCTAAATTGCATAATCCTTCGCAAGAATTCTCCAATTCCATTTGTTTAACGAAGCCTTGTTTAATAACCCTATGTCTTTTAATCCCAGGCCTCCCAAATTTTTTGGTCTACACATATTTTCTCTACTCATCCAATGGACTTTCTTTTTTAATTCAGTACTCCCAAATAAATCTCTGTTGATGCTTGCATAAATTGAGCCCTCAAGTTAATTCCGTATAAACAACTTTTGTAGAAGTTGACCCCCAAACCTGAAATTAGTTTAAAACCACGCAAAATAGCTTTAATACTCCACAGATTCGACCAAGATCCATCACACACAGGAGATGCCCTAGAGAGGCTATCTTGAAAATAGTGTATCATCATGTTGCTATCGTTAATGTGGGCCACCATCTTGCGACAATACAATGATTTCCTGGACAACTCAAACCCTCGTATTTCTCAAAATCAGGCACCTTGAATTTTGGTGGAATCACAACATTAGGTACCAAACACATCTCCAAAGCACTCATGCTAGTAGAGTTCTTCCCCTTCAATTCTTTCATCTGTTCAGCCAATTCCTTACACATCTTTTGTGCAGCCATATCCTGAAAATGAGCAGAATTGAACACTGGTACAACTCCCTATGCTGGGTAATATTGCCTCATATACTCATCCTGCAGCTCTTCATCGCCTTGTGGAGATAGTGGCACGTTATTCTCTTGCACGTCCTCATGTTGTTCTTGCATGTTATTACCATCAGTATGCGCAGTCACATGTACTTCCCCAGAAGCACCAAGATTTTCAGTTCCATACAGGAATTCAGTGTGCAAGCCATAGAGCAACGGGTTGGGCACTGGAATTTGTTGAACAAAGGATGGATACTTGCCATGTGCAGTCTTCACAAACGGGTTGATTAGCACCAATAACATTAGCCTTACAAACGGGTTGGCGTTCTTAACCAGCATTGCTTGAGCATTAGCACCAATAACATTAGCCTTTGGAGCAGCGCCCCCAACAAGACTAGCACCTCCAACAGGACCAGCGCCCCCAATAGTACCAGCGACAGCACCTCCAATAGTACTGGCAACAGCACCTCCAATAGCACTAGCAGCATCTGTAGCAGCAGCTTCGGCAGCAGCATCTACAGAAGCTTTGCCGTACAGATGTCGGAAAGTCAGCTTGATCTGGAGACGAGGAGAGATGAAAATAAGAACTCGTTTGAAAACGGGTGCATGATTATGCTTATGTATGCGTATGCAAAAGCCTTTTGACTTCACTTTTAGTTTCAGAGAACTTTTATAAACTTATTAGTGACTAGTAAGCATTTAAAAAAGAAGGTAAAAAATGCATAACGTCAAGCTTTCTACATAAACCAAATAGTTAAGTACAGCTAGGTCACTGACCGAGTCTAGGAAGGATACCAAGATCCATACAAGTGCAGAATGTTAAAATATTACATCAACTGACATAAGTTCAACATAATAAAGTAAAATAACTGCTAATCCACTAGAAATGCTGCCCGCGACGAGGCCTCAAGTCTCTCGTCTCTGCTTGGAATCGATTCACCACATCTTGACAAAGGAAGAGGAAGTCACCCACAGCTGGAGGTACATGATTGTCTTCAAGGTCCTCTAGAGCCGACCTAAGCCTCCAAGGTACATCAATAATCAGACGATTGCACATATCCACAAGATCACAATATCTCCCATTGAAGTACTTCATCATCCTCATTTTGTCTTCTCCTTCCTTCCTTTGAGGTCAACTTCCAATTTTTCAATCTTAAGAAAATAACAAGAGTTAGTTCTTTCTAATCCAACCTCTCTTCTTCCATCTTCCTAATGATCTCTTGAAGTCTTTCATTCTCCTCAATCGGGACATGAGTAGGCACAGGTTCTGGATGAAAAAATGGCACCTCCATAGAATTAGGGAGCTTAATTACTTACACTCTCTCTATTACCCACTGACGATAGGGCTTTCTAGCAACACCACCATCATCGTCATTGCTAGGGAACATAACCACACCAAAGACCAGTAAAGCCAGAATGGCACTGAAGGCTGGCCAATCTTCTTTGACTCTTAAATTCAAAGCCTTATCTTCCAAGCATTGTCCGAGAATTCCTCTATCTGTAATCCATAGTGCCACTTCTCTAACAGGAAGAAACAAAGCAGCTGCTACCTTAGCTTTGTCCAACTCTTCTCTTATGCTGATAAAAGGAACATCATTCTTCAAGGGCCAACCAAGAATTCTCTCAAACTCTTCAATAGTCGGAACAAGCTGAAAATCCTAGAATGTGAAACAGCGAGGTGAATCATAGTATTTTGCTAGGCTAACCAAAGCTTCCATGCTAACATCTGTAGTCAACAAATCCAAAATCTTTCCATATCTCCCCATGAAATAGGTCATGCTGACAGGTTTGATTCTCTGGCTCAGAATTAACAACTTTTCAATCTTTGCCTCCTTGAACTTGAGATGAGGAACGTTCTTCAAAGACGAATCCATTCTTCAAATGCTTACTGCACAATCAAAGCTTACAAAATTCCCTGAAAATAAAAGTCATATGCTAAGTCAACTTTATGCGAGTGTATGTGATGCAATGCAAGGTACAAATAATACTGGCACAATGAGTTCATAAGGTTTATTGGATATTCTAAAATACTTAAGAGTTATAGGTCATTTGTCCAGAAACTATCATGTGGGGCAACAACCTCCTTAAAAAGACCAACTCTAAGTTGGGTCTTTGCTTCTATCCATAAGACAATAGAGTCCAATGGACCTAGGCTATCCAACCTCATCCGAATAAATATTAAGAAAAAAGCAATAAACAAAGACACAAATAACTAAATTAGGATAGACTCCCTAATTTTTTTCCAGTGAAGTCGCCAGTTGAAATAACTCAAAAAATTATTTTAAATTTAAAACAATAAAGTCGCCACCTAACTTTATTTGTTCCAAAAGGAATAGGAAAATATAGATAAAATCCACAAGAGAAGAAACATGGTCATCGCAATCAAGATTGAATTCGGGAGTCGGTTATGCAAGAGGAATATATTAGCACCCCTCACATCCATCATACTCGAAGGAAACCGTTTAGTTAGTGTGTGTTTGTGTTTAAAGAAATTGCTAACTTCTAGGTCAAGAAAGGGGAAAGAATAAGGGTTTTGTTTTTTAGTTTTTGAACTCGTCAGAGACATCGCATCCTGTGCCTACGTACTCCCTCGTGCAATGGAAAAGCCAGAGTTCCGTAGTTCCTCTTGAAAACGTCCAAGTTGGTTGTGTTGTTTTTTAGAAGAAAAATGACGCGTTACACATTTCAAGCATTTGAATATAGACTTGTTTTGCTCGTTTGAGAGACCGAGTCTTTGTGTTCATTTCATATTGAAATGGCTAATGCACACTCTTTTTATGAAAAGAGTTTAAAGGTCGCACAAGGGCGAAAAAGAAATTATGCGAGTTGAGTTGTTTTATGTGGGTTGGATGAGTGAGCTACACCAGTCGTCTCTCATGCCAAAAACTTGAAAAATACGTGATGTCAAAATCAAATTCACTTTATTAGGTATTTTGTATGAATGGGAGTATTTAGCTTATTGGGCTACCATCCAATAAGCTAAAAACTTTAAACTTGTTTTAAACCATTAGGCTATCATCTAACGACTTAAATAAATAGCATCCAAGTTTTGTAAAATTCATTTTTGAAAACAACTTCAATTTTATTAACTTAAAAGAAAATGCTTTGAGATACTTGGTATATGGACCAAAGAAAATTAAATTGGGTTATGATTAACCAAGAATTGGACTTGATTAATCTCGTGAGAATAGGTGCTCATATCCTCAACCATGAGACCCTTTTGCATGGACACTTGGTATATGGACCAAGGTAATTAATTCAGGTTATGATTAATCAATACAAGCAAAGGCTTTGATTAATCTAGTGAGAATGACCATGCCCATTCTCAACTATGAGACCCTTAAGAAAATTTGGCATATGAGTCAAGGGGAGAGAAAGAAATTTAATTATAACAAGTGTGTGGAGTGTACATTTATGAATAATCCATACAAGCATACAAGAAACAAGTAAATAATTGAATCACACAATACAAGTCTAAACCATTAAATAATTATTAGAGTTAAAACTCTTTTCATTTGATAAAATTAATTAATAATTTAATTAATAGTATCAAATCAGAATTATTTTAAAATAAATAATTATTTAAAACATTAATCATCTCTTTGCAATTTTAAATATATGCTAAAATATTAAGTAAAACCAAATAAGTATAAATAATTAAATAAGAGAAAGGGTTAGAAGTGGCCTGTTTTGAAGCAATATGGGGGTATGAAAAGAAAATCACCCAAGCTCAAATAAAGGGAAGGCCCAAGATTCCATGCGATCCAGTACAGGAGGCTCCTGGAGAAGGACCGTGGAATGCATATTCAGGGATGTTAGATGGTGGCGTGATGATGATCTGTTGATGAAGATTCTGCAGGTGCATGGTAATATCTATGGAATAATATGTATGGGAGAATTTGATCCTTATCTCCTCCGATGGGGATAAGTGGCCCCAGAGGCACACTTGTCACCCACCAGTGACACCTCTGGATTCTCATATCATCACATTATTAAAACTTATCAATACCCATTAATAATAAAAAATAGATTAAGAAGACTAAAACACAAATCCCAATCTATTATTATTTGGACGTATGCTTTATTTTCTCTCAACTTTCATCCTCTTCCTCTCTCGCCGTCATTCATACTCTCTTCTATTTATCTTTGATTCTCTCATCTCACGTACCTTTTGTTCCCTTTCTCACTTGTCTAACATAAAATAAACATTAAAGGGGGTTGCTATGGATCTAATACGGTGGTTGTTAGGGTTTTGGTGGCGGCGCTCATGAACATTACGGTGATGTCGTCGTGAAATCTTTAATCTCTCTTTTTCTTTACACGATCTCTCTTATTTTCTCTGATCCTCCCTCTCTCTCTCTCTCTCTCTCTCTCTTATGTGATTTGCTTTGTTTCTATGTTTTTATTACTTATTTTTCTTTGATCCTACAGGGAAAGGGAATATCTGAGTTAGATCTTTAAGAAGGTTTTGAAACCTTAACTTCATAAATCGACAAATATGATGGAAAAAGCGTAAAAGGAAAGGAGAAAGGGAAGAAGGAAGTGAGAAGTAAGAAGGCCCAATAAGGGGTGTTCATTGGTTCGGGTAAATTCAAACCAAACCAGAGTTCGAACCAAACCATAGTGTTTGGGTTGTATATTTTTTCAGTTCGGGCAAGAACCGAACCAAACCAATGAAATCCAATGACAATTGGTTCAGACATCGGATTTTCAATTTCCTACCCGTAAACCCAACCCGAACCAATCATAATTAATTATCATGAAAATTACTATCAATCATTCAAGTTGAAGAAGAAAAAAAATGAAATTTTGTATGTGGACAAGTTATTCTATTTTCATTTGTTATTAGAAAATTGTTAGTGTATTGTGATAACTGAGCGTAGAGCTAGAAAACACATTCATTATCATACTAACTCAAGTGACTAATTATAAATTCAAAAGTCTTGATGTTATATATTTTTCTTGTTAGATATTTTAGAATCTATTAGAGAATAATTGCTAATATTTATGATTAAATATTATTAATACTAATATTTTATATTATTACGAAAAATCAATTTATGTAAATAAGTTATTTTTTCAAATATTTTTGCATTTTTTTATCTACTTGATCAATCCAACCCAAACCAATCTTTTTTTTTGGTTCGGCTCAGTTTGGATTTTATTGCAAAATTTTACAAATCCAATCCAAACCAATCCATATAATTGTAATCGGTTTGGATATCAGATTCTCTCAAAACCGAACCAAACCGGCCCAAGAACACTCCTAGGCGTGATGCTCTAAAATTCGTGAATCTGAACAACCTCTTGAGGTTTTCTAGTGAGATCTTTCTGGCCTTGGCTTTGAATCTCCTTCTTGTTTCTTTGAGACTTGCAATTTTTCTTGATTTCTGAACAACCTCTTGGTGTGTTCTATGCAGCTTCTATGTTGAATGTGAACAATGGATTATATATATATATATATATGTGTGTGTGTGTGTGTGTGTGTGTGTGTGTGTGTGTGTGTGTGTGTGTGTGTGTGTGTGTGTGTGTGTGTGTGTGTGTGTGTGTGTGTGTGTGTGTGTGTGTGTGTGTGTGTGTGTGTGTGTGTGTGTGTGTGTGTGTGTGTGTGTGTGTGTGTGTGTGTGTGTGTGTGTGTGTGTGTGTGTGTGTGTGTGTGTGTGTGTGTGTGTGTGTGTGTGTGTGTGTGTGTGTGTGTGTGTGTGTGTGTGTGTGTGTGTGTGTGTGTGTGTGTGTGTGTGTGTGTGTGTGTGTGTGTGTGTGTGTGTGTGTGTGTGTGTGTGTGTGTGTGTGTGTGTGTGTGTGTGTGTGTGTGTGTGTGTGTGTGTGTGTGTGTGTGTGTGTGTGTGTGTGTGTGTGTGTGTGTGTGTGTGTGTGTGTGTGTGTGTGTGTGTGTGTGTGTGTGTGTGTGTGTGTGTGTGTGTGTGTGTGTGTGTGTGTGTGTGTGTGTGTGTGTGTGTGTGTGTGTGTGTGTGTGTGTGTGTGTGTGTGTGTGTGTGTGTGTGTGTGTGTGTGTGTGTGTGTGTGTGTGTGTGTGTGTGTGTGTGTGTGTGTGTGTGTGTGTGTGTGTGTGTGTGTGTGTGTGTGTGTGTGTGTGTGTGTGTGTGTGTGTGTGTGTGTGTGTGTGTGTGTGTGTGTGTGTGTGTGTGTGTGTGTGTGTGTGTGTGTGTGTGTGTGTGTGTGTGTGTGTGTGTGTGTGTGTGTGTGTGTGTGTGTGTGTGTGTGTGTGTGTGTGTGTGTGTGTGTGTGTGTGTGTGTGTGTGTGTGTGTGTGTGTGTGTGTGTGTGTGTGTGTGTGTGTGTGTGTGTGTGTGTGTGTGTGTGTGTGTGTGTGTGTGTGTGTGTGTGTGTGTGTGTGTGTGTGTGTGTGTGTGTGTGTGTGTGTGTGTGTGTGTGTGTGTGTGTGTGTGTGTGTGTGTGTGTGTGTGTGTGTGTGTGTGTGTGTGTGTGTGTGTGTGTGTGTGTGTGTGTGTGTGTGTGTGTGTGTGTGTGTGTGTGTGTGTGTGTGTGTGTGTGTGTGTGTGTGTGTGTGTGTGTGTGTGTGTGTGTGTGTGTGTGTGTGTGTGTGTGTGTGTGTGTGTGTGTGTGTGTGTGTGTGTGTGTGTGTGTGTGTGTGTGTGTGTGTGTGTGTGTGTGTGTGTGTGTGTGTGTGTGTGTGTGTGTGTGTGTGTGTGTGTGTGTGTGTGTGTGTGTGTGTGTGTGTGTGTGTGTGTGTGTGTGTGTGTGTGTGTGTGTGTGTGTGTGTGTGTGTGTGTGTGTGTGTGTGTGTGTGTGTGTGTGTGTGTGTGTGTGTGTGTGTGTGTGTGTGTGTGTGTGTGTGTGTGTGTGTGTGTGTGTGTGTGTGTGTGTGTGTGTGTGTGTGTGTGTGTGTGTGTGTGTGTGTGTGTGTGTGTGTGTGTGTGTGTGTGTGTGTGTGTGTGTGGTGTGTGTGTGTGTGTGTGTGTGTGTGTGTGTGTGTGTGTGTGTGTGTGTGTGTGTGTGTGTGTGTGTGTGTGTGTGTGTGTGTGTGTGTGTGTGTGTGTGTGTGTGTGTGTGTGTGTGTGTGTGTGTGTGTGTGTGTGTGTGTGTGTGTGTGTGTGTGTGTGTGTGTGTGTGTGTGTGTGTGTGTGTGTGTGTGTGTGTGTGTGTGTGTGTGTGTGTGTGTGTGTGTGTGTGTGTGTGTGTGTGTGTGTGTGTGTGTGTGTGTGTGTGTGTGTGTGTGTGTGTGTGTGTGTGTGTGTGTGTGTGTGTGTGTGTGTGTGTGTGTGTGTGTGTGTGTGTGTGTGTGTGTGTGTGTGTGTGTGTGTGTGTGTGTGTGTGTGTGTGTGTGTGTGTGTGTGTGTGTGTGTGTGTGTGTGTGTGTGTGTGTGTGTGTGTGTGTGTGTGTGTGTGTGTGTGTGTGTGTGTGTGTGTGTGTGTGTGTGTGTGTGTGTGTGTGTGTGTGTGTGTGTGTGTGTGTGTGTGTGTGTGTGTGTGTGTGTGTGTGTGTGTGTGTGTGTGTGTGTGTGTGTGTGTGTGTGTGTGCGTGCGTGCGTGCGTGCGTGCGTGCGTGCGTGCGTGCGTGCGTGCGTGCGTGCGTGCGTGCGTGCGTGCGTGCGTGCGTGCGTGCGTGCGTGCGTGCGTGCGTGCGTGCGTGCGTGCGTGCGTGCGTGCGTGCGTGTGGGTGCGTGCGTGCGTGCGTGCGTGCGTGTGGGTGCGTGCGTGCGTGCGTGCGTGCGTGCGTGCGTGCGTGCGTGCGTGCGTGCGTGCGTGTGTGTGTGTGTGTGTGTGTGTGCGCCTTCAATGCTTAAATACTTATGAATTAGGGTTTGTTGATGTGTTGGGTTGAGCGGATCAGGCCTTTGTATATTTTCTATTGGGCTTAACATGATTATGATATGTTATTGTTTGGTGAATTGTATGATTTACTGTGGTGAATTTCTTGTTGGGCTGAGTCATGTAATTGTGTGATTGCTTGGGCTGCGAATTTGTTTTGCTTTATACTATTTTTACTTCTGTGGTAATTTTTGACATATATGAATTGTACTTGTATTTACTGCTGTAGTAACCTTTGTTGAGCAACTATGACAAAATCTCCTTTTTACTGAGTTGTAGTAAACTTGCTGTTAACCTTATTTTGAACCAAAATTGTGTTTGATGATTTGGAGTAAGGTTTGGTAGGTCCATGATTAGTTTGTGAAACAAAATATGTATGAGGCTTTTCTGTTGGGTTTCTAAACATGATTGAATTTAACTCCCTTCATTCTGATTCCTTCCACAATCCCTAATGATGAAATAATGAAATAACCTCTTTTGAAAGTCTTCTTGTTCGAGTTCAAACGTTGTTGATTATTCTAACCGTCTCCTTGTTTTCTTGTTTCATGAACAAACACAATGGTGATTGATGGCAAGCTTAAAGAGAATCCATGGCATGGAGAAAACCTGAAGGACAAAGATGAAAACAATGACCATTCTTATGGAAGACAATAGTTTGATTCTAGCTTTTGGAAGCTTGGCATATCCAACTTGTAACATGAAGAGCATTAGTTATTTCCAAAATGACTTAAATAAATGGCACTTGTACTTGTAGATTTGAAATTTAAATTTTTATAAACTTGAATGTTCTTGTTGTAGAAAGCAATAATGTATTTGTATGAACATTTGAAGCTTAGGTGAAAACCTTGAGATGACTCCCTTGTAATTTAAGTTGAATTCAAATGCAAACTTGTAATTCTTGAGTTTCAAGGGTAGGCACAACTTGTAGAACTTTTAGATTTGAATGAGAAATCCTATAGTGTATTCTTGACACTTTGTAACAAAATTTGGACTTGAATTTTGAATAAAGAGACCTTTGAAATAAACATGTTATGGAACTTGGGATTTATGTCTCCAAATCTTCTTTGTAAACTAGAAGTTCCCTAAGAATCTTGACATGAATGGAACTTAAACTAAAGAAACATGGAAATAACTTCCTTAGATTGATAGAAACCGAGACTCGCCATGTTGCAAGTAAACCAACTTTCGCCTTCTTCAAAAACACCTAGAATGAAAATTCATAGTAAAAGTAATGTAGAAGTGAAATTTGTGGTAAGACATGGATAACATAATGTGATGATCAAATGAAACGGGATTCAAATCAAATTGACTCCAAATTCAATTTAAACCTGACTTCAAGTTTGGACTTAAGACAAATAATAGGCTTCCATTAAAATCAAGAAATTTCCCAAGAGGCATTTTCAAATCCCATATTAAGTTCCAACACCGATCAAATAATGGATTATAAACTTTCTTTTTTTGAAATTTGAATCCAAAAATTGAATGAAACACTATAAATCACCTTGTCATTTCTCTCAAGAATCCCTCTTGTGGAAAAGGGCCCATGTAGCTTGCTCCAAAAGAAAAAGTGGGAAATGAACTTTAATTCACCACCAAAATCTAAATAGCTCATCCTCTGAGATTAAATCATATATGACGCCTAAACAAATGGACCAATGACCTGATAAT